GCAATTTAAAAAAAAAAAAAAAAAAGTGTGCAAACTGGCAGGTTCAAGGATATAAGGTAATTCATAGGTCATTTTATTTAGGCAAATGACATTTAATTCTCTCAAAATCTCTGTTATTGGGCCCCTAATATTTCAAACCTCAAAGACCGGGAAGTTGCCAGTGAGTCTATATTAGGACCAAAGCTCCCACAACCCACAACGAAGGCAGGTTGTTAATACTTACCTCCTCTGGGCAGCGCTCCCCGGGTTCTCAGGAGTAGGGTCTTTGGGGGCTTCCACCTCCAAACCCTGTCTCCAGGTTTGCAACCGGCCCAGCTCCTTGCTCTGCGGGTCCCTGGTGGAGACAGAGGAAGTCCTGAGCCGGGTGCCCACCACCCTACCTGCGTGTGTTCATGGTCCAGATCTCCTGGGTCTCGCCGCGGCCGCTGAGAAAGGATGCTGGTGAGAATTCCTGTGGGTCTCGAGGAGATTTCGAAGAGCAGAGGGAGCGGTTTCTGAGTTTCGATTTCTCCCTAACCAGCTGCAGGTTGAGCTGGCCTCAGAGAACTTCCCCTTTCATCCTCCACCCTAGCGCCCTCTAACCTTTATGCAAGTTAACAGCCAGGGCCTGCCTCAGGAATCATGAATGGAGCAGGCTCACCCAGCAGCAGGTGAGATGGCTCAAGGCCTCACACCCACCACACAGGGCACAAAGGATCAAGATAAGTCGTGGCAGCTTGTGAGTCAGGAGGTTCAAAATGACTAACAGGTATTCCAAATTCGAGGTTACTGCTAGATGTCTGAGATTGGGAACAATTTTACTTTGAGTCCTCTGAGATTAGGTCAATAAAATAAACTAAGCAAAATACTGCCGTTTATCAGTCACCACTGCTGTTAGAGGAAGTAGAAAGTGAAATCAAAAGACAGCAAAAGTCCCACAAAGTTGAAGTCACAAATTGAGGGCTAGATAGAGCTGAGTGCCCAGTTAGCTTTGCTAAGCAATTAATCAAATATTCAAGAAATATTAATTAAATACCTGAAGGCTTGCAGTAATCCAACTATAATGCAATGATTTCTATTTTAAAGCTTAGATTTGCAAGATGATTTCTATAGGTCTGGGGATAAGTTCTGTCATTCCTGTGTTTGGAAGGTTTGGATAATTCTGATGCGATTGTGTAGTTGGGCTCATCACCCTGTCACTGTGCTGGCCAAACAAAGATGTGTGAGGCTCTTCCTATATTTTCTAGGAGACAGGTAAACAAATACTAATGCCATCACTGGGCAATTGAAATGGTAGGAAGATGTATGAGGTTTGTGGACTGGCAAGGTAGGGAATAGCCCTCTAATTCTAGAAAAGGGACATTTGAGAATAAGCCACAGAAAAGTGTTGGAGTTGACCAAGAAAGAGACATTGTGGCAGGGGTTTGTGGCTTAAATAACACAGTATACACATAATGCTACATGATGTCCTATGGTAGTGTCCCTCAGCTTATCAGTTGCCCACCCAGCACCTAGAATGTCTTGTTTTAATCATTGATGCTTAAAACAAAAAGGTAAATGCATGTTTGATAACTAATGAAAGAATGGAACTCAAGGTGGCAAGTGAAGGAGGTAAAATAAGAGGGGGGATGTTGGTGACTAAGAGGAGTCAGGGTTCCTATGCTCCCTAAAGGGCCAGAGCTCTGTTAAGTGGGCCAGAGGTCCTCAAAGCTCAGCGAGCATCAGAACCCCTGATGGGTGTGTTAAAACAGGTATGTAGGTGCCCACTCTGGAGCTCCTGAATCAACAGATCTGGAGTGGAGCTTGCCTTTCCAACAAATTCCCAATGCTGCTGCTCCAGTTCAATCTGCGAGCCAACACTGAAGGCAATGTGGAAGGCAATGAAAGTTTTTCAGCAGGGCACTTATCTGATAATATATTTGAGAAAGTTGGCTCCTAGCAATGTGGAAGGGAGGTTGAAAGATAAATAGGCTGAAATGAAGGAGATAAACTAAGAACCTAGTTATAATCTAGGTAAGTGATATTGGTCAGAGGCAAGGCAAAACTGTATGAGAAATACAAAATAGGTATAAAACCAAAACCAAATGAAAGATTAGCACAGGGTTTTAAAAAAAAGAAAGAAAGAAAAAGATATAAGGGAGAACTGAGCAGAAAAGGAGCAGGGGAAAGGGGAGGCAGCCTTTGCAGCACTTTGAGTCCAGCAAGGACATATATTGGCTCCATGATCAAGGACAAGCCTCTTCATTTCTGAGAAACACAGTTTCCTCATCTGTAGAATATGCAGTCACAATATTTGATTTGTGAGGTATTATGAAGTCTAAGGAGATAATTCATTTCAGTGGTTATCAGATGGATTTGATTTTGCATCCCGGATTAGGCAATGCTCAGAGACAGATTTTATTGTAAAGCCTGGAGGAGGGAGGATGACTGGTATCCAGTGGGGAGAGGGACTAAGGATACTGTTAAACATCTGCAGTGCACAGGCTAGACTCCCCCTGCCCCCAACAAAGAGCTATCCCACCCCAAATGTTCATAGTACAGATGCTGAAAAATCCTCATTTATGTATGCCTATCTTAAGGCCCCAATAATTTCACGGCTGCTGGTTTCATGGTGAATTTATGGTTTTAGCTTTGGGACTGGAACTGGTAGAACCATGTAACCATCAACCCAGAAGAGGGACCAATGCTTGAAAAGGTGAAATAACTTTGCTTAGGGATCAGTGAGTTTGAAGTATCTTTTGGGAGGGAAATGCTTGCTGGGCCTGGGGTCTAGCAGGAAGAGGACCAGCATGGTCTTGGGGGAGGTTATCTTCTTCAAAATCATCATACTGGGGAAATACCACTGGAAATCTTGCTTCAAAGGAGAAGTTCATTATTTTGGCATGAGGGAAAAGCCAAATTAGGGGAAACCCAACTCTCCAAAAAGAGCTAGTAATGGTGGTACTGATTTCAAATAAAGAAATACATTTATTTTACTTTATTTATCATAAAACCTAAACATTTCCTAAAGTTCTAAGCACAAGATAGAAGTAAAGGTTGATAGGCAAAATATAAATTTCTTAGTCTGTTCACTCCTTGTTTTGCCATTCGCCATGCTGTGTTTAAAACTCTGATTGTGACTTCCTGTGGCAGTAGGCATCTACGGGCAGCTTTAGGATGCTCAGAAATGGGTATCTACTTGTGTGTCACTTCTTCTCATATGTGTATTTCTGTGAGCAACCACAGCCTGGCTTTTCACCAGGGCTGTTAGATGCAGCATTTCTAAGCCATATTACAGTTATACTTGAATAAAGAAACAGCCTGACTCTTGTCTTTTAGTTTTAAGACCAATAGTGGACCTGAACTCTGAGAACCACCTGTTCCTTCAGATGTTCCATGGAGCTGTGCTCCCCAGCCAGGCTTTACTCATACTTTTATTGAAGCAGTCTTTCCAACATCAATTAGAGAAGTAGAATCTAGGATCCACCCTCCTCTAAGAATCTTGCCCTTTGATCCCTAGGTCTAGAATATCAAACACACAATATCAAGCAGAGTTCTCAATTATTTTCACTCTTTCAATGAATATAGCTCGCTGTGTCCAGCACTTTGATAGGTTAAACAAGCACATCCACTTTCATTCACTATCTTGGGTGGAGGGCAAAGTGGGGTCCTGAGGGATTAACATCATATGCCCAGGTCACAAAAGGAGCACATGATTCAGTGAGCTTGTCTACATCATAACCTTGTGGTTGCAAGGTTAGGTGAAAATCATTCAGATTATTTCCATATTGTGAAAGTCATTACTACTGGTAAGGGTGTATACCTCTGGAGAAAAGGTCTAGGAGAGGAGCAGAACCAGGTGGGGAGGATTGGAGTCCCCATCTCTGCTCCAACTGGGGAGGACTGAGGTCCCCATCCATGCTCCAGCTAAGTACTTTTATCTCCCTTACATACTGAAATGGTGCCCAATTTTCTTATGTGCAAGAATTCTGTGGATTTTAGGGTTTGAAAAACCACTGTACCTAATTACAAAGAAATATATTTTAAGGGACAGAAGAAAGACCTGAAATTGTTACACTGCCTGAAATTTGACAAATTAAATATTCATTTAGGAAATGGCTTTCTTTAAAGATATTACTGTCTCATTTCTTTAAGTAAGTGTCCTTAATCTGAGCAAAAGTCATTTTGGTTTGGAAAAAGGAAAACTGAGTGAAAAGGAGAATTCAAAAAATTATGCCAAGAACTGCTCCTTGATTCACCTACAACCTGAACAGCTCCACTCTTTCCTGACACTGGGTCTCTCTTCTACCCTTGGGCACAGGTCCACCCCTGCTCTGTTGGCCCCAGATCTCTGGACTATTCTCTTATTCTAGACCTACCCACTGTGTCCAGGTCTCATACACTCAGACAAGCTTCATTTTCCAGCTTCATTTGTTAGACCCTCCACAGGCTGTCCCCACTCCTGTCTTACCCTTGGCCCCCCTCCTGATCTGCCTACCACAGACCCACCTACTACCCAGACCAGCCTACTACCCTGGGAGAATCTGAAGCACACACCAACTAACCTGAGCAAAAAGCAACCAAGTTATACCAACAATATAAACAGAACCAAACTTCAATTAAACAAAGGCACTATAGAATTTCCTGCTGGACACACAACCAACAAAAGACATCCACATGCCCAAAAGACAGTTAAAAAGCACAAATAATATGAAAAACCAGGAGACTATGTCCCTAACAAAACTCATCGGCCATACAGAAGTATACTAAATGAGAATCACCCCGAAGAACCCCACGATGCAGAATTTTAAAAGAACGATTATAAACATGATCAAAAAACTTAAAGAACACACAACACAAAGAATGCAAAGAGGATAGGAATAAACTTGTGATGGAAGCCCAAGAATATACAAATATGTGGCTGAATGAAATAAAAACAATTCAGGACCTGAAAAGTGAATTCACAACAGATACAGAAATATTGAAGAAAAAAACCCAAGCTGAAATGAAGATGAAATTGAAAAACTCAGTAAGTCAAGTTAAAATGACAGGAGAAAGTCTTGCAAGCAGTTTGAACAAAATAGAAAACAGACTATCAAGACCAGATAGACAAAGTTGAAGAACTGGACTCCTCAAGCAAAGACTATTAAAGAATTTTAAAACGCAGGAATGGGATACACAGGAAATGTGGGACACCATGAGAAGACAAAATATATGCATCACAGGCATACAGGAAGGAGAAAAATCTCAGGTCAATGGCATTGACCAGAACTTCCACAGGATTATAGAAGAAAACTTCCCCAAATTAAGGAAACACTTATCCTATACAACTACAAGAAGCACATGGAACACCAATTAGATCAGACCAGAACAGAAACTTCCCATGACATATTATAGTAAAACACTAAACATATAGAACAACAACAGAGTACTGAAAGCTGCCAGAGAAAAACAAGTTATGTATAAAGGAAAACCCATCAGAATTACAGCTGACTTTTCAATGCAAACTATGAAAGCCAGAAGAGCCTGGACCAAAGTATTCCCAGTTCTAAATGACCATGGATGCCAACCCACAATACTTTACCCAGCA